TTAAATCAGTCCGTAAGAAAATGTTGTATCAGAGGCTTACATTTCGAGGAGAGTAAATACCCGAAGGTTTTATTTAAATTTTGACTGTTTACGATAAAGACTGTTTACGATAAAGTTAAACTTTTGTCATAAATTGTTGTATCCACGGCGAGCCCAGACTATTAAAATTACTTTGTTCCAACTCCCTCAGTAAAATAGACTTATTTGCTTTTTACTTCAAATTCAGATATTCTTTCATCCGCCTTCAACCACCGTGAAAATAAATACACAAAACGAAAATATTGAAATATATAGAAATTCACATCAAGGCAGCCCATCCTCTACAGCTAACTTTTTATTGCGGGTCTTTGACATGAACCCATGGGAACTCCAATGCTAGCCTAAAAAATTACCGCTATTTTAACGTGATCTCTACGACGGCTCTAGACCAATTCTAATTTTCCGCTATCTTAAAAAAACTTTGACGTGAGCTCTACGATAGCTCAAAACGCATTGAAAACTTACGCTCTTCGACCTACACCTCCACGGGGAGGTTGGAAAAGTTTTGAATCTGAAGTACCTATACACAGCGTGAAACTCCCGAGAATTTCAGAACTTGGGATACCTTTAAATGAAATTCAATTAACGCAAGGGAGGGATTTCTAACTTTTGATGGACATGTATGCAAGGCCATAAGCTTTTGAACAATGTTAAAAAGTTTAAAACGAGATTTCTCAACAGATAAACTTGTAACGTACATCCATGTACTAAAATAGCAGTAGCTTGATGATGAGCCATAAAATCCTCTATTTCGTACAGGAAGTAGGAAAATATAAATATCTTAAAGCGGTTTTAGACGTTAAACCATCCACCTTCCTCGACTAGTCACTGTCTAAATAACCTCCGCAGCGGATTTTCAAAGAAACACACAGGGCGCCTAAGGGCGCAATAGTAATAAAGCCAAAGTTAACATGTCAGTATAAATTTGCCACTAAAAGGCTAAATCTCCTTTGCGTAACTAAATTAATCGCCCTCTCCGGATCATTATAACGAGATTTAAACTTAACCTCAAAGCAATTAAGATGATTTAGTGATCAAAAAAAGTCTATTTGTATACCTTCCCTTTTTCTACCTGCGCGCTTTTCGTATAGCTAATTAATTAATATTCAGGCGGTTCGAGGTTTGCGGAAGTAGATGCGTTTCGCTATTATTCGAGGGTTCGCTTACCCCTTTTCTTTTGGAACATTAGAATGGCGGATTAATGTGGGCATTTTGACCTGAAAATAACTGTTTTATAGGCTAAAGATTAATGACTAATAAGCGCCTGTCTGCATAATGATCCTTCTGGTGCCCCTTCATTATCCTTCCATTTTTTTCCGAAACATTTTGCCATTGACATTTAAAATAACCCATCTATGACTTTAGTACAATTTTAAACCGTTGCTTAGTTATCTTCCTATTGACTTTCCAGTGACCATATCAGCGACGTAATCGATGAGTCTTCTAATGAAATCTTGTTGTAACCTTCCTATTGATCCTGTAATGTTCTTTTTCTTCGATTCTTAGTTTTATTTAAATGATATTCTTACGCCATATAGGTATTTCCTTTTTTACTTTAGATGTATGTTATTTCTATGGTACATTTTTTATTACCTTAGTTCAGTATTTTCGCCGCTAGAGGACATCCGAGTGATATAGGTTTCATTTACAATGGCCTTTGTTGCGCCGCCAGAGGTCGTGCAGATGTTTTCCGTGACAATTCTAATTCTGTTCCTTCTTTAACTTATTCCTGCGTATAATATTGTACTTCAGGGTAAAGAAGATCGTGCCTTCATGTTGGTTATGTATACATTTTTTCACGGAATTTTTAGATTCCCGGGGTCATCGAAATCTGTTGACTCTTTGGATTCCTCTACACAAATTAAATTATGGCACCATAAAAATTGGACCATTGACCTTAGAAATGAAATTGGATGACCTCGAACGTGATTTTTGAACATGGGTTCATTGGCCTTGTATGCCTTTCAAAATGTATACTATACACAATATAAGAATGAAGTCATTGACCTTGCTTGTACTTGAAAATTTAATTACACAATGCAAAAATGTGATCTTGGATAACTGTAATTATACACCACATTTGTAATTGACCCTGTATGACCTTAAGCAAATAATTTGACACCCCAAAAAATGGGACCATCGCCATTGCAGGCCCTTGAAATCGTAATTAGTGAGTAAAAAAAGAACTCTTTGATCTTGAATGAGCCTGAGAGTGTAATTATTAATCACTATAATGACCTCACTGTTTTGAGGCCATTGGCCTTGAATGACCTCAAACTTGTAGTTTGACACCATTGGCCTAATTTCCAAGAGCACCGCCATGTAACTTCGAATTACTTTCCAAGGTTATCCCCAGGTGGCGAGCGACCATGAACTGAGTCAGGTTCCCCCCTGTATAACTACCAGGCCCTTCACACTATTGAAATTCTTCATCGGATCTTTCGTTTTTCACCTTCTACGGTCATCAGATCTGTCTATCCGTTTTCCTCCATCAATTGATTTGCTCAGATCATAATTTATGAAACACCCTGTAGTATTCCTGGTCGTAGAGAGTTCCCGTGCTTGGCGACTGCACAAAGATATCTAAACGGTTGACCTTGATTGAACTAATTGATATCTAATTGCCTGGGAAACTTATTTCCCTAAAAAGACGATAACTAGAAATTCGCAACCCCGTTTGTACGACAAGATCGATTTAATTTGCACAACCCTAAGCTGTCTCAGACTTAATACTTTTCTTTCGTTGCAATATAACGAGGAAGCCGGCCTCGAAATTCGGTACTACCCTCTTGGGATGGACCAGGGGAGAGAGAGAAAAAATAAACAACAATAAGTTATCACTTTGTACGTTTCCTCTAACTACGTGTCGTTGTCAGGGATGTAGCCGTGGAAATTTAACGTTACGGAACTATTTTCGGGAAGCTGACGGCGATTTTATATAAATTTATGACGCCCAGATAGCATACGGAATGTAATCATGGAGCCATTCGACAACGGTGTTTTGATGCAGTAACGCCAGGAATTTTTATTTATTCAATGTTGCTTCTTAAGATGCATCCGCGTCAGTGGGGATACTGTAAAATATGGTTCCATTTTAAACACGATCACGTACCAATTGAATACGGAACGAACATTTCCATAATAAATTTGTAGGAACGTGTCCAGACTGAGACTCTGTTATATAGCGTTCTTGGTCCTCTGCGAGGCTTTTTCTGTTCTTGTACCGTCTTGATATTAGCATTAATTAAATTATCCCGCCTAGATTGGGAGACAATTACTATTTTATCTTGCACCTGGATACATTATGTTGAACGCAGGTGCGAAATATGTCTAATTTTACAGGTCACAAGCAACGATGGGTTACTTACCAACTTACACCCAAATTTACAATCGGTGCCACATTTCCAATGGGATCTGAGGGATGTGAGGGATGCGAAGGATCTGAAGGATCTGAAGGATCTGAAGGATCTGAAGGATCTGAAGGATCTGAAGGATCTGAAGGATCTGAAGGATCTGAAGGATCTGAAGGATCTGAGGATCTGAGGAATCTGAGGGACATGAGGGCTCTGAAAGATCTGAGGGATATGAGCGATCTGAGGGATCTGCGGGATCTGAGAGATTTGAGGGATCTGACAGATCTGAGGGATCTGAGTGGTCTGAAAGATCTGAGGGATGTGAGGGATCTGAGGGATATGATGAATGTGGGGGATCTGTGGGATCTGGGGAATCTAAGGGGTCTGAAGGATCTCAGGGATGTGAAGGATTTGAAGTATCTGAGCGATCTGAGGGATCTGATGGATCTGATGGATCTGATGGATCTGAGGGATCTGATGGATCTGAGGGATCTGATGGACCTGATGGATCTGAGGGATCTGAAATATCTGAGGGATGTGAAGAATCTGAGGGATCTGAGGGGCCTGAAATATCTGAGGAATATGAAGGATCCGAAGGATTTGGGAGATTTGAGGGATCTGAGGGTACTGAGGGATCTAGGGGATCTGAGGGATCTGAGAGATCTGAGGGATCTTAGGGATCTGAGGGATCTGGGGAATCTAATGGAGCTTAAGGAACTGAGGAAAGTGAAGGATCTGAGGGATCTGAGGGATTTGGGGAACCTAATGGATCTTAAGGAACTGAGGAAAGTGAAGGATCTGAGGGAATTGAGGGATCTGAGGGATTTGAGGTATCTGAGGGATCTGAGGGGTCTGAAATATCCGAGGGATGTGAAGGATCTGAGGGATCTGAGGAGTCGGAATTATCTGAGGGATGTGAAGGATCTGAAGGATTTGAGAAATCTGAGGGATCTGAGGGTACTGAGGGATCTAGGGGGTCTGAGGGATCTGAGAGATCTGAGGGATCTGACAGATCTGAGGGATCTGGAGGATCTGAGGGATCTGAGGGATTTTAGGGACCTGAGGGATCTCAGGGATCTGGGGGAAATGATGGATCTGAGGAATCTGAGAGATCTGATGGATATGAGGGATCTGGGGAGTCTAATGTATCTGAAGGAACTGAGGAAAGTGGAGGATCTGAGGGATCTGAAGGGTCTGAACGATCTGAAGAATCTGAAGAATATGAAGTATCTGAAGGACCTAGAGATCTAAAGGACCTGAAGGATCTGTAGAATCTGAAATATCTGAAGGACCTGACAGACCTGCAGATCTGAAGGACCTCAAGTATCTGAAGAACCAGAAAGACCTGAATAACCAGAAAGACCTGAAGGATCTGAATGATCAGAATGATCTACTACACCAAATGATGGGTGCCACAAAACGTCCTTTGGGTTCCTGCGAAGTGAATCTTGTTATTACCGACGGAAAACCAAACCCCACCACCGTGCTAAACACTACAGTGCCAGTGCGCTTCATGGACCGCACGATTTTAACTCCATACTTGGTCCTACCAGAAGCCCAAAATTGCACCCTCCCCGCAGTTTTTTCACTCATACGGTCTGTGACCACTCACACGTTCCTGGGACAGTCCACTATCAAGTCCGAGTCCAGAACCTCAATCGTCGCCCAGCTGGCCTCCAGATACGGATTCGGAGCTCTAAGCATTTTTGTAGACCCCTGCGAAGGTTACCGTCGCCATCATCTTCTCTCATTCACCGAAGAAACTGCGAAGACTAAGTGTGCCACAAGCCCCTCAAAGTTTCTTTATAGTTGTCCCAACGTCAAACTGACAACCATAGGACATAGTTTTAAAACCAGTGCCGAGCGAGTGAAAAGCGAATTCGGCACATAGCTAGGCAGAGTAAAGGTCTGATGGGGTACGTAGGCCAAATAGTTGCGGGCTCGCTGTCCGCTTGTTAGACAGTGGGTTTAAGCCTATCATTTTTACGTTGTAAAAACATGCCCATTTTAATGTCGAACCAGCCGCATCATAAATTCTACGTACCCCATCAGACGTATACTCTTTCTAGGCAGAAATAATAAAATTCTAGAAAGGGTGATCAAGATAACATATGACTAGATGAAAATTATTGAACTTGGGTGTGAATTAATTTTAAATGCAATTTATAGCCTCCAACATGAGAGAAAAATGCATTTCGATCAAAAACCAAGTCGAGACCACACAAACATGCGGTTAATCGCTCAGAAATAATACTTGCACCTCAAAATATTGCAATTACACCGCCATTGAAATTTTTAGCGATGTACAGAACCGCTCCGATCAATATGCCAAATAGCAATATAGGTATACACTGGCCGAAAAAAAAATTGTCTCAGAACGTCCCGGAAAAAAATTTTTCTTATAGAACGTGGCCTGTAGAATCCATAATTTCAAACAATTCCAAGATTGGGCTACTAGTTCAAAAGTTACAGCCCTTTGAATTTTTTTTCGAAATTGGTTTCTAGTCTATAACTTTTGATTGAGAAGTCTGATGAGAAGTCTGATCGAAAAAGTACGAATTGTTTTGGATTCTACGCACCAAAATTAATAAGAAAAGGTGTTTTCCCGAGAAATTTTGGTGTAGTCGATTTTTGGTAAAAAAGGAAGGTTATACACTGCCTTTTTTTGAGGCTCGAAAAAAAAATTGTCTCAGATCGTCCCGGAAAAAAAATTTTCTTATAGAATGTGGCCTGTAGAATCCATAATTTCAAACAGTTCCAAGATTGGGCTACGAGTTCAAAAGTTACAGCCCTTTGAATTTTCTTTCGAAATTGGTTTCTAGTCTATAACTTTTGATTGAGAAGTCTAATCGAAAAAGTACGAATTGTTTTGGATTCTACGCCACAAAATTAATAAGAAAAAGTGTTTTCCCGAGAAATTTTGGTGT